GTGGCAACGACGATGATGTCACGACGCCCAGCCCAACTACATAAACTTTGGCTCCTCACTAAACTAACTAACGAGCATCACACTTTAGTTTTCATACTGACATCATAACAAGCGGCATTACGAGGATATTTTCTAGTTTCTTTCTAAAATGTTTTATTGGTAAATTCAGATTTAAATATAACTTTCAAATATTCACTAAATATATAACAATTTCACATTCATATAATATTAAATCAAACAGCTGTTGCTGTTATTAAGGCTGAACCGAGTTCATTACGGTAGGGAAAACTAACAGCAAGCAACAATTTCTTAAGCGGGGCACCGAAGGAGCCAAGGAAGACAGCGAGCGGTGCACGTCTTCTCCCACTAGCGGTCACACACACACTGAGGCCGGGGCGAGAATCCTCCGGCAAGCACGCTAGTTCAGGCCACCAGCCTCCCTCGCCTCCCTGTCCATATGTAGGACTTTAACGACGCTTGTGGAGGTTATTGTACCCCGCCCTGTGTCTGGGACGCAGTTAAAGGCTTTAAAATGCCTGCTTAACAATGCACAGGTGGCTGGGTGAGGGGGGTGGAGTGAAGTGATGGGGGTGTGTGGAGCAACAAGCAACTGTGTGAGTGTGACACTGGTGTGTGTGTGTGGCCGCCAACCCCCAGGCTCAGCCACCTGCTCCTCACTCCACCCTCCACATCCATATTTATTTTCCTCCATTTCTTATGCATTACCATAATTGGCCGCTTTATCACACCTCTTTAACATCTTCGAGGAACCCTTCTCATGCTTCATCACTTAGTTCTGGTTACCACATGATTCATCGTGTTTTGATAAGACGAATTTTGGCTGTTGGGAAATCACGGCGTCTCATCATGACATTAATTTTGTTAGCAAGACTCACCAGATGTGATGTATCACATTATACGAACTATTGCATCATCATATTCTTTTCCTCGTGGCATCAAGCTGTTCATTGTGACCTAATCAACCATCGTACATTTTTCTCCAGCTACTCCGGTTTCTTCTTGTAATTTAACAGTGGTCCAGGGGAGGAGGCTCTCGTTGGCCCTCTGGGGAGACGAGTTAGTGATAAATGATCCCAGTGTTCCCGTGTAAATAATTAATATGAAGCTACATAATCTGTCTATTAACTCCCCTCTTCACCCCCAAAACAAAAACACAAATTATTACAACAAATTTATATAGTTTACATAGAGAAGTCAACAAAACACCTCGTGATATTATTAATGACCCGTTACGCTCACCGACGCGGACAGGTCACCATATAAATCAATGTCTTAAGGGCATTGGCTACCAGGATCCGACCTTACTACAATGCTGTGTGCTCAAGACCCTGTGGCAACCTTAAGATGCTGTGTTGTGTCTAAGAGACCGATAACCTTGAGGTGCTGTGGCGACCTTGAAGCAGTGTCTTATAGGCTGTGGCGCGACCTTGCGGATGACGTTGAGTGCTGTGGTGTTAAGTGGGGTATAATGTGGCGACTTGAGATGCTGTGTTGTGAGTTCATGTCATATCAATGTGAGTCAAGTGTCCAGATTAGTAGCGTCAAGTATCATTAATCTAATAGACTTACAATTAGACCATGATGTGTGTGTGTGTGTGTGTGTGTGTGTGTGTGTGTGTGTGTGTGTGTGTGTGTGTGTGTAATACTTTTCTGCTGGTGTTCGTGTGTATGTTCTATATTTGTCAGTTTTCCTTTGTTGCGTTTTGTAAAGAGGATAGTGTGACGTATCCATTCCATCAATTAATAATGGACCCCTTCGAGCCCCATCCCCCAAAAAATACAAAATATTACATATCTACTTTTTTTTTACGTTACTAGAAATAACTTTAAAAAGAAGTTATATTAAAAGATATAATATAAGGCCCCAGAGTAAATGAAGATCGAGAGCATTAAGTAAGATACAGGTTCACTTATCAGCAAATTCCACATGATGATATAATTACCTGTTCTCCTAATCTAGATGTTAAAAGACATGTGTAGAAGACTAGCAGCAACACTACAGGTACACATCAAATTACAGGTGATAATACCCAAAATTATACAGGTACGGATACAATAATTTCCACGAGATATAAAGCTGTACTCTCAACATGGTACAGTAGCAATTTATCAGACTTTGATTTTAGAGGAAGAACACAATTAAAGGTTGAGGTACAGTTAACTACCCACAAGGTGATAATTATAATGTCTTCGTCCATTTAGCGTCGTGGTGGTGGTGACTTCTCCACCCCCACCTGTACCTGTACTTGCCTAACACACACACACCGATTTCCACCCGACACATGCTAGAAATCCGTCGCCTTAGCCTAGACATGAGAAAGTTGATTTTGAAGCAACAAGACAATTACATGAACAAATACAGGTACAGTGATATCCACACGATGACAGTATCCGAACCTAAACACATTACAGAAGGAACAATAGTGCAGGTACAACAATTACCCCCCTGGTTAACAGAAACAGAACCTGCCGCCTCAGCCAAGTTATTACAGTAATCAATCAAAAAGCAACACTATAGACTCAGGTATAGTTAGGTATCTCTTACACCACTTAGCCTCGTTTGCACCACGCGGTACTGTACGGTACATAACTTCACACCACAATGACAGTATTCAAAGAGGACATAATTAACGAGTGATAATGGCGGGTTTGTACGAGAATAATATCGAGTCTCTCTCGTTACCAAATGACTGTGTTCCGGCGTGTCTTGTCAACAAAGAACAGAAGAACAAAAACGAATGACTACCCTGTTATCTGTTTTGTTGATTATTATTAACACTCATTTTGACACAGTATGTATGTCTACGTGTGTTTTTGTTTTCAATCGGATTACCTTAAACTTAAACACCCCAGCTTATTAACCACTTTAACGCTAATTTACCCTAACATAATACTACTTAACCTAACCTAACCAAAACCAACTTAACCTAACAAAAACCAACCTAACCTAACCTAACCAAAACCAACTTAACCTAACAAAAACCAACCCAACCTAACCTAACCTAACCTAAACCAAGCCAACCTAACCTATACCTGCAGGCAAGGTTATGGTGTTCAATCATAGGGGTGTTAAATCTTCATGTGGTCCTCTCAAGGTACCCGAGTTCAGCCTAAGATGCTCACACAGTGTACAGCTCACTTAACACAGTATGAATCAAGTGTACAGTTCACCACGATCCCACATCAATATTTGTACAGTTCATATAAAGACAAATAAATTCATTCAGAAAACCTCTATTGAAAAGCTGACGATATCAACATCTGCCTTACTACACAAACAGCACTATTTAAAACAGTCATTGTACAAAACTAAACATCACAAACACAATAGCAACACAACACTTCAACAAAACCGTTCCTGTACAATACAACACAACTATTACTACACAACACTGTACAAAACATCACAATACAACACGGTATAACACAACCATTATTATACAACCTTGTAATAACATCACGTCCGCCACTGCACAACACAATGAGACACACCATCACAGATACACTCTTTCAAATACCCATCTTTTTCTACACCTTTTTTTCCATTCCAGTCAGAGAGATAAATTTAATTACATAACCTTTAAAAAAATATACATCAGTATTTTCTATTCCTGTATTTCAAAATGTTATTGACACGTTAAATTGCTTGATTCTAACACCTAGTTTCACTGATAATTTCTCCAATGGCAATTATATTCATCTATAACTACAATGTCATATATGTTGGCTCCACACAATGAATATTATTATACCTAACGATTTTGTGCAATTAAAAATACATCATTATACAGTTAGCTTATATGTTACTGCCATGTTATACCATCCTTGATACTAATACCTGGATATAACATTAAACTATAAATATTTAGTACCGATACCTGATAATTTTCTTTCAACCTGTACTGTCATAGTCTTCGGCCATTTTGTCATGTAATTTTGCCTAACCATTAACCAAAATGTAAACAAAATATAACCAAATTATTTACCCCTTGACTATGATGCATATGTAGAAAAAAAAAATTCAGTCATAAATTTTGGTTCTTGAAAATTAATTCTCACATCTAAATATATATTACTTACCACATTACTGCAGTCTTATCTGTATGTTTTGTGCGTTTGAGGTGTGAATAAGTACGTGTTATCACCAGCTTCCACATACCTGACCCAGGCCAACCCATGATATGAACTGGGCAATTATTGTTTTTTCTCTCACTCTAATTACTGATCAACACGAGAAGCTCCACACGCTGCTGGTCAACACTGTGGTGTGTCTCAGGCGTTTGGTTTACTGTGTGTACAGGTCAGGTGGGTGTATGGTGTATGTTTTGCAAGTATATGATGACGTATGTATGTATTGTATATGCGTGCATATTTTGAGTTCATACACACACACACACAAACACACACGAAACCACAACAGCTAGTATCAAACAAACATGTGTTTAAAAACAGCCAATTGACACTAATTGGCACCTGTGTCTCCTGCACACTTGTCAAGTCTTTATGTGAAAAAATAAAATAAAAAATAAATTCATAAAAATAAATAAATAAATAAATAAATAAATAAATAATAAATAAATATATATATATATATATATATATATATATATATATATATATATATATATATATATATATATATATATATATATATATACTGTACTGTATATATATTACCCTGTGAGACGAGGGTCATTGAGTGCTTTACTACGTTCATTTAATTAATTTTACTTTAATTTGTTAACTTATTATCGAGTCAGCTCAGTGGTCTAGTGAGCTGATTGTAAACGGTGTCTCTGCGTTCTAACTCAACATTGATGAACCGGTGTACTACAGTGACAGTCACACGATTAAGGGAACTATAGAAATACCTCATGACACCTGAAAAAATAACCCGCGAGAACGAATTTGCTAAGGCTCGTACACATCCGGGGAGTGTTTACCGAGTCCTAGAAATTCGGCAGAGGCTCCGGTCCCCATCAAGACCTCGGCGAGTCATAACCGGTACGATTCGGTTGCAACAAGAGCAAGGTCTGGCGTTCGCGGTAGCCTGTAACGCTCACACGTTACACTTAGACAACCGCTTATAAACAGTGTCTAGATTTTTCTTTACGGTAACTGTAATTAATTTGTTCTTAAATCCGGTATCTTAGGCTGATTATAATCTCTCCTCTCAATCAATGGAGTTTCCAAGACTAAAGTTTCTATTAGTGCCATCAAAAGTGACCGCCAGATGGTGTGGGTACATTAGGGTGAAGGAGGATACAGCCAGATGGTGTGGGTAAAAGGACAGATGTGTGGGTACATTAGGTGGAAGGAGGGTACAGCCAGATGGTGTGGGTACATTAGGGGTGAAGGAGGGTACAGCCAGATGGTGTGGGTATTAGGGTGAAGGAGGATACAGCCAGATGGTGTGGGTACATTAGGTGAAGGAGGGTACAGCCAGATGGTGTGGGTACATTAGGGTGAAGGAGGGTAGCCAGATGGGTATTAGGGTGAAGGAGGTACAGCCAGATGGTGTGGGTACATAGAAGGATCAAGATGGTGGTACAGGGTGAAGGAGGTACAGCCAGATGGGGGTACATTAGGTGAAGAGGTCAGAGGGGTACATTAGGGTGAAGGAGGATACAGCCAGATGGTGTGGGTACATTAGGGTGAAGGAGGAACAGCCAGATGGTGTGGGTACATTAGGGGTGAAGGAGGGCACAGATGGTGTGGGTACATTAGGGTGAAGGAGGATACAGCCAGATGGTGGGGTACATTAGGTGACGAGGATACAGCGAGATGGTGGGCATTAGGGTGAAGGAGGGTACAGCCAGATGGTGTGGGTACATTAGGGTGAAGGAGGGTACAGCCAGATGGTGTGTACATTAGGGTGAAGGAGGGTACAGCCAGATGGTGTGGGTACATTAGGGTGAAGGAGGGTACAGCCAGATGGTGTGGGTACATTAGGGTGAAGGAGGGTACAGCCAGATGGTGTGGGTACATTAGGGTGAAGGAGGGTACAGCCAGATGGTGTGGCTACATAGGGTGAAGGAGGATACAGCCAGATGGTGGGTACATTAGGGTGAAGGAGGGTACAGCCAGATGGTGTGTGGGTACATTAGGGTGAAGGAGGATACAGCCAGATGGTGTGGCTACATTAGGGTGAAGGAGGATACAGCCAGATGGTGTGGGTACATTAGGGTGAAGGAACACAGATGTGTGGCATTAGGGTGAAGGAGGATACAGCCAGATGGTGTGGGTACATTAGGGTGAAGGAGGGTACAGCCAGATGGTGTGGGTACATTAGGGTGAAGGAGGATACAGCCAGATGGTGTGGGTACATGGGGTGAAGGAGGTACAGCCAGATGGTGTGGGTACATTAGGGTGAAGGAGGGTACACAGCAGATGGTGGGTACATTAGGGGTGAAGGAGGGTACAGCCAGATGGTGTGGTATTAGGGTGAAGGAGGATAGCCAGATGGTGTGGGTACATTAGGGGTGAAGGAGGATACAGCCAGATGGTGTGGGTACATTAGGGTGAAGGAGGTACAGCCAGATGGTGGGGTACATTAGGGTGAAGGAGGGTACAGCCAGATGGTGTGGGTACTTAGGGTGAAGGAGGATACAGCCAGATGTGTGGCATTAGGGTGAAGGAGGATACAGCCAGATGGTGTGGGTACATTAGGGTGAAGGGGAGGATGGCAGATGGTGGGTACATTAGGGTGAAGGAGGGTACAGCAGATGGTGTGGGTACATTAGGGTGGGAGGATACAGCCAGATGGTGTGTACATTAGGTGAAGGAGACAGCCAGATGGTGTGGCTACATTAGGGTGAAGGAGGATACAGCCAGATGGTGTGTGGGGTACATTAGGGGTGACAGGATACAGCCAGATGGTGTGGTACATTAGAGATGAAGGAGATGACCCAGATGGTGTGGCTACATTGGGTGAGAAATGGATGACGAGATGTTGGTAGAATGGGGAGGAGGTACAGCCAGATGTGTGGGTACATTAGAGTTGGAGGTACAGCCAGATGGTGTGGGTACATTAGGTGAAGGAGGATGCAGCCAGATGGTGTGGGTACATTAGGGTGAAGGAGGATACAGCCAGATGGTGTGGCTACATTGGGGTGAAGGAGGGTACAGCCAGATGGTGTGGCTACATTAGGGTGAAGGAGGACAGCCAGATGGTGTGGGTACATTAGATGTGGGCAAAACAAAAGGAGGATACAAGATGGTGTGGATTGGGGTGAAGGAGGTACAGCCAGATGGTGTGGCTACATAGGGTGAAGGAGGATGCAGCCAGATGTAGATTGAAGGAGGATGCAGCCAGATGGTGTGGATA